GGATCAATTCCCATTTGCTCAAATGTTCGTAACATTAAGATGCTTGAATACGCCCCTGTATCTACTAGTATGCGATGTGCCGGTATACCACAAATGGGTGCCGTTATTACTAGGGGGTCAGCGTGCGGGTGAGCGAAGTAACTAGCATCGTCCACATTGAATGTTATGGGACAATTATTTTGAGCGTTAATCTTATCTCGGAGGTCGGTTGTCAAAACAGTTTTACCCGCATTATAAGCCTTTCGGGCGTATGCCTTCACCTGCCGTCGTGATTCAAACGACGTATTGCTACTGTTATTGACCCGAGTTACATGGTGAGAATTGTCAGGATTATAGTATCCTCCTCGGTACATCATTTCAGTATTTTTCAATGAATCATTTTCTTCTGAGCTCATCATGAACACTTCTTTATCACTTGGTCTCACCCGTTTCGGATTAACTGGACGTTCCTCGTCTTCATCGTCATCTGGTAAATCTAACAATCTTCCCTTTCGTTTATAATCTACATTTTTGGCAAACTTTTGGACTTGAGGATGCCCAATAAGTCGCAGTAAGGCAGAGAGTAAACCGAGGCATTCATCAGTATTATGACCTGCCGACTTGTGGTATGAACAATATCTTGTCTTATCAAGTCTTTCTTCAGGAGTTCGCACAGGTCGAGGGTCGGGAAGAATTCCTTTCCCTTTCAGTTCTTCAAATATGGTTGCTGCTCCTGCCGAGAAAACTGCCTGATAGCTAGATTTGATTTCATTAAGGTATTTGGTTCTAGCTTCTTGCACCTCGGGCATCTTAGGATTCCCAAATCGAGACTTATTTGGTTTGAAGAATTTATTTTTCTTCTTCTTTGACTCTTGTCCGACATCCGACTTAGGTGAAGAAAAGTCGATATTTGGAACTGACATTGATTCCTCGGCTATAATATGTTGTTGAGCTCGGATCAAGAAATCTTGGAACGAAGTCGGTTTATTCTGACAGATACTCCAACGGAACAATGAATTTGGCTTCAATCCAGCTATGGCTGTGACTAACAACGTTTCGGGATGACATTGTTCCATATTTTGTATACGTTCATTAAACGAGTAATATAGTCCTTTACACTCTCATCGTCTTTTTGCACAATATTTGCAATTGATTCTTTGGGAATTAAAGAAACTCGGGCCCCGATAAAATGAGATCGAAAAGCCGTTCTCAATTGTTGCCATGTGGAGATTGAACACCGAGGTAAGGAATGGTACCACTTTTGAGCTCGAGGTCCCAAAGTTAACGAAAACATCCGACATCTGAGTGCCTCAGTTGCCCCATGAAGATCCATCCATGAAGTATATTGACCAAGATGAGCATCAGGATCTGAAGTTCCATCATATAAACCGATCTGTGGAACCTTTACTTTGGTTGGAAGAGGCTCCCTGGTCAAATGAGGGGCTAAAGGAGTCTCAACTTCTTGATACGTCCCTTCCATCGTTGGAATTTGTCGTTGTGATTCCTCATGATTTTCTTGTCGAGTTTCTAGCTCAGCAATTCTTTTTCTTAACATTTCCAGCTCCTCAGATTCACGTCTTAAACGATTTCTTTCAATTAGACGACGTAACTCATTGTGCTCACGACGAATATGATTTTGTTCAAGAGTTCGCTGCAAATCAGACGGTTGATTATGCTGTGATGTTTCTGGTAACGAAGGAGCTGGTTGTTGTGGTCGACGTCCAGAATGACTTTCTGCAGTGGCATCCAATCGAACTGCTTCTGGAATTTGTACAGGAACTACTCCACGATTTTGAGATGCAACGTCATGTTGTGATTCATGTGTGTGTGGGTGAGAAGTTGCATGTGATGTAGCAGGAATATCATGTCTTCGTGGAACTGGTGTTGGATGAGTTTGAGGATTAACCGCTGCGGTTGGTTCTATTCTTGTTCGTGCCATAAAATCATTTAAATTTTTCAAGAACTCTGGATCTTGAAACAGAAAGGAATAATCAATTGATGTAGATGGCACGGCAGAATTTCCAATTGTATGAGTTGGGTAACGATTGATTCCAGTATCTAGATTTCGTTCATTTTGCCCAGAATTTGACATCCTTAGTATATGTTAAATTCTCAGACAATCAACTAATCGGAGGTTCAGCCCTTCCTCTAGCGCCAAACTGTTATTGTCTAGAATTAACAACGTGAAACTAAATACAGTTGATGTTAAAAAGTAGAAGTAATTGTAGAATTTGATTTTATTTGATAATCACAAGAGTACAGAAGTCGGTTTTATTGTTGAAAACCGAGATCATCATAAGTCATGTACAATGTGTTCGAAAAGATCCTCGTACTATCATAAATTCTGCTATTTATAGTACGGTAATTCTTGTCTTCTTGCTCGAAATGGATAAAGACACATTTAATGTTGAGCTGCTTCACTTTAAGCGGAGGGAAACATCAATGATTGCTTTTCCATTTCGTTGGTCCAATCAGATGCTTCCAGCTTTGTTTTCTGTTGGGATATTTGGACTTTGCGATAGTCGGTTTAGACTGAAGTCTGTTTACTCGCATCCGCTTTAATAATCGGTCTCTTTGTCTTCGGAAGTCGGTAATTAATTCTAATAAATGCTGACTTATCTTAAGTTTTGTCTTCTTCTGAAACATTATCTCTTCAATGAAGTAGTTAATCTCCATCTTCAATTTTGTAATCAAGTCGGATATCAACAAGGGGGCTGGACCTCGCTGCTCCTCTTCCCTGGGGTGCTGGGCGCGAGCAAAAGGGCTGGTTGCCTTAGATTCAGTTTTTCTCTCTACTCCTCACTATATGCTCGGGCTTCAAGTGATCAAAGGTCTTAAAAGGGACTGAGGAAGGGTCCTTAAGTACTGGTTTGGGCGGAGATAGCTAGGTGACTTGGTGGGGGACAAATGAAGTGGGAATTCCATCTCATGGCATGGAATTTAGGTCCAAGATCTTGGGCATGCTTAAGACCTGACTTTGCACGGTCTTTGAGCTTATTTTAGAGTATAAAAATCATGGTGGAGAGGTCAGGTCAGGTCTGGCATGAGGGTGGGGGGACAAGGGTTGCACAAGTGATTAAAAAAATGAAAGTTTCCTCATGCACTACTAATAAAATATTGTCCATGCTAGATGCCTTTGGCTAATCTTTTGTTAGGGCAATTTAAGCTTAATTAGACCCTCATTAGGTCCTAATTAAATGCATGCATTGGGTCATGGAAGATTTGGGCCGGATATAAGGGTTTTGGGCTCAAAGTGTTGGGCTGGCAGGCTGCCTGCTGGGCTGGACGCTGGGCCCTGGGCGCGGGGACGCGGGCTGGGCGCGAGGGCGCGGCCTGGGCTGCGCGGTCACAGGCTGTTCGCGGGAAAATGGTCTTGGGCCGAGTAAAATGGTTTGAAATGGCTCCCCAACACTTCGAAAAATTATGGGTTATGATGCTATGGACATGGTAAGGTCTTGGGGCTCGGTTGGGATGCTTGGCGCGGCTAAGGCGCGGGCTCGGGGCTCAGGTCCGAGACTCGGCTAGGGCTCGATTTTAGAAAAATGATCAAGACTTATACTTTGATATTTATATACACTTAGAAAAATATTCTAAGTATAAAAATACCAATACCTGGCTATGCTCGGGATTTACTCGAAAATTAACTCGGAACCAAACTAGGGTTCAGAGTCGATAAATTCTCGAATTGACTTGCTATTATTTACCAACCCAAATTAATGGATTAATCTTATAATTTATCATAACTTAGCATTTAGCATAAGTAATAAAACTCGGTAATTTCTGAAAATTACGGACTTCACTTATAGTCGAGCAGTGAAACCGTTCTGAATATTATTACTGTTTTGGGGCGTTACATATTCCAGTTTTGATCGCTAATGTGCGTTCTGCTACACATTAATATGCAATACGTCTATCACTAATGTGCAGTGTTTCAGTCGCTATTGTGCGTCTGTACCGACCAAACTTTTCTACAACTAAGTTCAAACTGAACTAAAATACATGATTTATTCGGCCGATTAACAAAATTACAATAATTGTTATAAATAATTTATTGTTTTATATTACAAAAAATATATTTAATATTTGAATAGTTTTATTTAATATTTTCACATTAGTTTTATTGTAAATACATAATATATGAAATACCAAAATTAACAATTTACATTTTCATAGACAATAAGGTGCATTTTTAGCCTATTATTATTGTGCAACCGATTGAGCGTGTAATTTTGACGTGCATTTCGTTTTTATAATATTTTTAATAATGTGTATTTTTAATTAACGTTATTGCGCACTCATTGATTTATTATTTAGTATTTATAATATTTATTTAATATTTTATATTATTGGTTGTTGAAATAAAAAATATATATATATATATATGTGTGTGTGATATAAAAATATAATTTTTTATATATTTATGCAAATTATGTTATTTTTTTAATCTTTTTAAATTAAAGCTCAAATCGGATAGAACAAACTAAAATTTTAATATATGTAAAAAAATGCACATTGTGATAATGTTCATTGTCGTATGCATTAATGTGCATTTGGTCTAACTGTTTTGTGCATACTGACAGTCACTAATATGCAATTTCAAACGATTGCATAAAACATTAATATGAAATTATCAAAGTTTTGATAAATTCTAATTTTAACTCATGGACTGGATTGTAATATAATAAAATTTATAAAATCTCAATTAAATCCCTAGAAAATGTCAAATTCTCCAAAGCATATTCCTAGGTCAAAATCCCCCAAATTCCCGTGCCAATTACTGGTTCCCTCGGCCTCTTCCCGGTCAGTCGGCGGTCCTCCTCCGGCCATCCTCCGTTCCCCGCGATATTCACGGCCATCCACACGCTGCCGCAGATAAGCCAGTGACTGGCAAATCGTGTTTTAGTCCCAAACATGGTGGCACGGCGGCAGCATCGCCTTATACATCCTTGCCTGCGGCCGAGCGAGTCCGAATAGTAGATCGTTAATTTTTGACGCTCTCGGCCTCCTCACCCTTTCAAGCCATGTCTGATGAACTCTGGCGATGTCTCGACTGGAGATTCACAGCCAGAATCGCGGGGAAGCGGGGGTGAAATTCTAGCAACGTTGCTGCATCCATAATTATGTGCAGATGCTAGATAAGTGGCGGTCGGATGTGAGGAGGACGACAGCGGCAGCGGGAGACGCGACTGGCGACCCGGACCGGCGCACTTTAAGCTTGGCTGCGGAGGATGGATGTGGCTGAGGTGGAATGGCGGGCAACTGGTGGCTGGCAGCGGGAGACGGACGATCGGCGACGGGCGGGGTGGATGCCGGAGGTCGAAAGCTCTGTGTGTGTGTGTGTGTGTGTGTGTGTTTGCAGGTGTGTGTGTGTGTGTGTGTGTGTGTTCGTGCGTTTGTTTGTGTGTGGTGATGGTGGTGACGGGGTAGTGACGTGGCAGGTAGGCTTGTGTAGTTGACTGAATATTTGGTGTGGGTCCAACTTATATGTATAGAAAAATAACTAAAATACCCTTAATGAGTGTAATATTTTGATTTTTTGTATCCTTTGGATTGAGAAATTCAATGGTCGAGATTTATTCTCATTTCTTTCACTAAGCACCAATCTCACCGGAGCGTGACCCTATATATATATAGGGATGGGTTACAGCGAGAAAGATCTTAACGAGAGAAATAAGAATACATCCTATCCACAAGATTAAAATGATTGGACGGCATTAACGCATTCACCAGCACATAATTGGAGGGGCATACCAGTAATTTAATAAATGTAGCAAACTTGTATAACTAATGGAATGTGCGGACAATACACAAATTAGTTCTTCAGCATCAAAAAAAGAAAAAAAAAATTAGGGATCCTGCGATTAATCGAGATTAAAGGGATCTGGCGATTGATCGAGATACGAACTGCTCGCAATCGAAAGGTGGTCGAGGGTACACCTGCATCAATAAAAAAGATGGACTCAACATGAGCTCTGAAGGAGTTTACAATATCCCTACTCTATATTTTGAGCTATGATCGAGTAGCTGGCCTCGACAAATTGTCTACTGTGCTTCTTAAGATCCCATCGTTTCGAAGAATTCAGCCGTATTTTAGCTCTAATTTTGATATCTTTACGCCATTATAAGCAGACCACATAGTTATCCAAGGACTGTTTCTGTTGCAACAAATGGAATTTATTGATGCACAAATAGGTATTTTTGAATTATATCATTAATTGCACATTATAGTTTGATTAATATACAGATTTATTGCATAAGTTTTGAAACGTCAACCCTAGCATTTTCATGTGAATCTGCTTACGTTCATTATAATTTGTGCATCATAATATACATAAGTGTGCATGATTGTACAATTTAGTGTGCTTGTTACTGTAGGTAGACGTGCATTCACTCTGTAATATATTTATTTTTATTTGTTAACTTATTGTTGTTTATTTTCCATAACGTATTGCAGACACAACCCTGACGGGGGGCACCAAGTATTGGATACCCCAATGTGATGACGCAATTCGACCTCACATTGGACAACGATTTAAGGGGTTAAGCGAAGCAAATGATTTCTACCGGATCTACGCTTCTACGGTTGGTTTTGACGTTAGACAAAGCACCCTGGTGAAATCAAGAGATAATACGACAGTGCTTTGGAAATACTTGGTGTGCTCACGTGAAGGTTACAGAATCACTCAAACACAGGCCAACTGGTGCTAAATGAGGGTCGTGTTAGAAGGCGTAGGATCTCCAACCGAGTTGGATGTAATGCACGAATTGTGCTACGAGCTGATGGAAATAATGGGTATGTTATTAGATTTTCGAGGAAAGACACAACCATTCCATGACCCTTGATGAGTGCAGGTCACAACTGAAGGTCAATCGAACAATGGCTGCTGCACATCAAAATTTTGTTCTCAACTGTATAAAAGCAAATATAGGCCCCACCAAGTCTTACAAGCTGTATAAAGAGATGGTCGGCGGGTATTCGAGTGTTTGCGCAACCCATGTGGACTTCAAAAACTTCAAAAGGGAACTACTTGCATACATTTCGGGCGTCGACGCTCAATTAGTAATAGAAAAGTTCTATTGACGTCAGGAGGATAGTTTTGCTTTTTATTTTCAGTATGAATTGGATGAGAATGACTACTTGCAGAGGCTTTTTTGGGCTGATCCAATATCACGGAGAAACTACGGGTCTTTCGGGGATGTTGTATCATTGATGCAACGTACCTCACACACAGGTAAATGAGTTCTGCACATCCATTTAAAACAATCGTTCAAAGATATAGTACTGCATAATATATATACGACCAAAATGTATTGATGTTTGTTATAATTGGATTTTGTAGGTACAATATGGTGTTTGCACCTTTTACCGGGATAGACAATCACAGCAAGTGCGTAACATTCGCCGCCGCTTTGATATCAAAGGAAGACGTGAATTCGTATGTATGGGTGTTTGAAAAATTCAAAGACGCCATAATCCATGAGCCCAGCTACGTCATCACAGACCAAGATCCATCGATCGGAATTGCATTCACCAAGTAGCAAACACCGCTTTTGCATGTGGCACATAATGAATATGTTGTGTGATAAGGTCGGTCATTCTTTGATTAATGATGCTAATTTCAAACGGCGGATAAATGAAATTGTCTGGTCTCGGAGCATTGAGCCTTTTGACTTTGAATCTAAATGGGCTGGAATAATGAATGAATATTCATTGGAAACACATAGTTGGTTCATTGATTTGTTTGCCAAGAGAGAACACTGGATACTGACATATTTTAGAGATATTAGAATGAGTGGGTTGATGAGGACTACATCTAGATTGGAAAGTAAAAACCATTGGTTTAGTAGCTTCACAAATAATCATTCTAGTTTGGTCGAGTTCTTATTGCACTTTGATAGTGCGATGGATGCACAATGGAACAAATCGATGAAGTTACAGTTCGATCATGAAACTCATCAGGCTAAGTTAAAAACTCCATTGCCTATTGAAAAGTCAGCCCTTAATGCATACACCACCACAATATTCTATCTTGTGCAAAATGAGCTATGTGATGCATGTTACAAATGTCGAGTTATGACTTTTTCTGAAGAGAGCAGCCACCTGACGTTCATGATAAAAGATGGTGATGGAAAAACTTTTACAGTTGTGCACAATGTAGGGCTTAATACATCAAAGTGCTCGTGCAAACACTTTGAGATGTATGGACTGGTGTGTAGTCACATGTTTAAAGACATAAACCTGGAGGTAATACCACCTGCACATATTGTGTCGAGGTGGACAAAACTTGCTGTCACGAATCCCTATGTTTCATATACTTGATAGCCTTCCCGATCAATGTGCAAAGCAGGATGAAAAGAAGTTCATGGTTAACAAGTTGTGGTCCGACATACATGTATGCATGGGGTTGGTTGAGACAAGCATGGACCGACTTGTCGAGTTTTCCAAGATCATTGGGGAACACAAGAACAGACTATTGGTAGCCCAAGATAGTGATTCGACCAGCATTGACAAAGAACAGAGGTTTGATACGTTTGTCGGCACATCTGGTCCCGAATCAGTAAGCATCCATCCCCCAACACAATCGAGAAACAAAGGTAATGGAAAAAGGATCAAATCTTCCAAGGAAATATCAGTTGAACAGTCCAATAAAAAAAGAAGACTTTGCAAGACGTGTGGTGAGAGGGCCGGGCATAATACGCGTACATGCCCCAAAAGGCAGCAACATATCGTCTAGAAATGGTTGGAGGTAAACAATTTCAATTGTACTGTTATACAATACATAAATATCTTACATTTACATTAGATATTACATATTTGTATTTAATATGACTATTGTATATTTACTGACAAATTCAACAGGGTGCTTTGTTGAAAAAAATTCAGAATTTTTACATAATATTATTTGTCAGGATCACGTTACAATCGCCTTATTTGCACATACACATCGTTTTTTCTTGATTGATCATCAAATTCATATACTAATTTGTAAAATTTTACATTCGTAGTCATCCATATGGTCTGGGATTTTTACTTGCACGCGCGGTGATGGCACATTGATTTGTTTTAGATTAATTGTGGATGAACTAAGTCCACGCTCATTGTCAGGACATACAATTGTTAGATACAATTTGTCGGCACAATTTTTGTTTTAGAAGTATTATAATAGTTGTATTATCACTACAAATGATATGAATTCTGTTATTTATTTCCTGCTTTGATGGCACAGCTATTTGCACAATAGTTCACACGAGCTGCACAACATAACCAACCGTGTTGCACTATAAAAATTACAGATATAACAATTCAGGGTTGGCATTACCTACTCGTTATACTTGTTGTATTTTTAACGATTCAATGTACAAACCCGTTATTATAAAACCGTTATTATAAAAATTAATTGATGATCACAATATTATGTTTACATTGCACGATACACTGTCGCACTTTCGCACGCACACATATTAATTGATGCTCACAAACCTATTATATGTAATATCGACCAGTCAATCAAATCGCATACAATTGTAGTATAGGTTCAAGTGTAACATTAAAACAGTATATGCAATAATATTATATTGCACAACAACATGTGTAATATTGCACAATGTGTACAACTACTATGCACAATATAAATTTTAATTTATAACCTAAACAACTACTGGAATAAAACTCTGAGTGCCTACAATTTGCATTCATATCATAACCTGACATCAAAATAATATACATGCAAAACACATAAAAAAAAAAAAATCCAGTTAACCATTGCCCATTCGACGTCCTGTCATCAAAACGCATCATTCACATAAGAGTATTCAACAGTATTAAGTGATCGATGATCCACAAAACATCAAAACAAGTACTAACTCCAAACATATTCACTGTCTACATCATTAAACATTCAATCACACTATGCTGACACGTGTTGCTTCTTTGCGAGATACGCCGGATGAAATCTATTTGCTACTGCAAGATTGATATCCCTCAGTTTATTATTCGGTGCACAAGCTATGACATAACTATAGCGCTTCCTCATGAGCTTCGTCTGTCTCTTGTCTCTCACCTTTAGCTGTGGATTCCAACTCTTACCAACAACGCCCTTAAAAGTCTCCATGTGGCGCATTGTGATCACACCGACATCAGCCTCATCAACCCCCTTGACCCATGCCATGTCAACAACGTCCGGAATGGCTAATCCAACTAACTTAGAACTCCTTGACAAATTCCTCTCGCCTAAATACTTTGATAGTGATTGTGGCTGTAACAAAGTAATACATGGTAAATACAAACACAATACACACACAAATGTAATAACACCAAATCATATGTATATTATAACATTACCAATAGCCCGACACATGACATGAGAGCCTTCTTCACAGCCACATCTTTGCAATTACTGGCACTGTCTAAAATACTGTACTTTTGGGATTCTGGGGCCACGCATAATAATCCCGAAAATGGCACAGAGTGCACAGGAAATAAAAACTGAGGATAAAAATAAATATGTAGTTGAAAATGTAATCCAACAGAGTAGCTCATGTAATTAACGATACAATAGCAACATAATGCATATCATCAAGAAAACCGATTACCATCGATATCTATTTTAGTTCGTATTTGGACATTCGTGCAATTTCAGAATCTAGCGTCTGGGCAAACTTTTGTACCTCAAGTCCTTCCTTCTTTTTCCATAAATAAATAGCTACAAAACTATAACGCCCCAAATCAGTAATAATAGTAAGAACGGTTTCACTGCTCGACTATAAGTGAAATCCGTAATTTTCAGAAAAGTCCAGTTATATTTATATATGCTAAATGCTATAAAATGATAGATTATTCCTTGGAATATTTCTATATCAATTTTAAGTTAAGATTAATCCATTAATTTGGGTTGTTAAATAATAGCGAGTCGATTTGAGAAATTATCGACTCCGAACCCTAGTTTGGTTCCGAGTTATTTCTCTAGTCATTCTCGAGCCTAGCCAGATATTAGTATTTTATACTTAGAACAATTTTCTAAGTGTATTAGAATACCAAAGTTAAGTCTTGAATATTTTATAATCGAGCCCTAGTCGAGCCTCGTGCCCGAGCCCCGAGCCGCGCCTTAGCCGCACCAAGCATGGCCGCCGAGCCCTCAAAGTCTCACCCAAGCCTTGGCATAAGTTCCCTAAATTTTTCTAAGTGTTGGAAGCCCTTCCCAACCCTTACAACTCGGGCCAAGGCCAAATTCCCGCGAGTAGCCCTCACCAGCGCGAGCCCAGCAGCGCCCTCCCGCCCAGCCCGCGTGATGAGGAATCGCGTGTTCCCGACTCCTGACCTTGCCTCGAACGTGTGCTTTGGCCTTCAGCGAGGGTTGCGGACGATTCGGAGGTTAACTCCTTGTCTTCTCGCGATAGGTGAGACAGCTCGGACGTGAGTCCTTGCCAAACTCGTCTTGCTCGAGCTATGCGGTGGAACGCCCTTCTCGTAACAAGGGTTTTGCACTAAATCTCAAAAGAAATCTAACACAAGAAATTGAACACAAGGTTCAACTTTTTCATTAATTCAAGACATATAATTTCGAATGACATTGGGCATATTTATAGATGCCAAACTAACTCCTAATGCATGGAAATAAATAAAGTCCTAAGGAAACTAGATATCTAATGAATATAGACTTACCTAAACTACTTAGGCACATGTCTTTTATTCCAAATCCTAACCATAC